TAGGTGCTATTTTTCCTACTTTAACACTGAAGAAACTGAGGCTCAGAGAGGTGTTGAATCCCCTGCCCATGACTGGTGGGCACAGAGCCAGTTCTGGAATCCAAGCCAGCCAAGAGCAAAAGGGTGGGCCTGAGCCGGGCAGGAAGCACCAGGTGCTACTGAGACATTCACAGTGTGGCCCTCTCCCAGAACCTAAACCCCGGAGCTATCCGCCATCAACTTGCTGGGTGTCCAGGCCAGCTCACCGCCCCTCTCTGGGCCTGTTACCTCGTGTGTCCACAAGATAATTGCTGTTGTTCCTCCCAGCTCTGAATGCCCGCCTTAGAATTCCTATCCGCACAGGTGCTGCCTTGTAGATCCCAGATCTGGTCCTCTGTGTGGAATTCGGGAACTACCTAGCATCTATCTGACAGACCAGGCTCATCCCATCTAACCCTCAAAACCACTTTGCAATGCATTTACCACTGGCCCACCCTTTGCCAGCAAAAATTTACCACAGGCCCACCCTTTGCCAGCCACCAGCCGTTGTCTGTGAGGCAGAGCCTGCTATGGTCTCTATTTTTCCAATATGCAGCCTTGCCCCAGGTCTCGCCCAGGTTAAGATTTGAATGAAGTTTGTCTACACCACCATCTTTACTCCTGCCCACTCTGTTTTGCTGCCGCCCATGTAAGCCCATGGGCTCAGGGCTGGTGCTCGTTCCTCCAGAGCCGGGATGGTGAGAGAGGAGGTTGGGGAGGGGTAACAGTGACTCTAGTCAGACCTGGGTGTGATTCTTGGTCCTGCCACCTAGCTCTGTTACACAGTGCCAATCATTTCACCACCCCGAGTCCCGGTTCCCTCATCTATAAAATAGCCCTAATAGTACTTACCCCACAGAGATATTGTAAGGATGAAGGCTCCCCAAAACACCCTGCCCCTTCTCATGCTAGCTTCCAACGTCCTGCAATGAAGGATCTAGAAATGAATGAATAAATTGATCTCCTAGATTCTTTGAATCTCTGGTGTTAGAGGTGCACTGTTTTGTGTGTCCTTAGATGGCCTACGCGTTAATGACAATGACTAGCTTTTACTGAGCATGTAATAGGCTCTAAGAACATTCCTGAGTATTTTCAGACTATAGCTGTTATGGACCAGAGCCAGGATTTGAACCCAGGTCGTATGGCTCCATGGTTCATGCTGTTAACCACTCCACCAGTTGGTTCAGGAAGTTCAATATAAACCTCTGTGTACTAGATGATGAAATCTCAGGGATCGTGAACCATGTCATTTGCAGGATCTAGAAACTAGCTCAGGCTTAGCCTGAGTTTCAAGAAATTCATTCACTCATTTATTCACTCACTAACTCATTCAGTAAGTATCTATTGGGTACCTATCATATGTCAAGCCCTGTTGTGGGAGCTGGGGACACAGCAATGAAGAAAGTAGAGAAGACCCTTTTTCCCGTGGCGGCTACATTCTAATGGGGATCCAAGTACTAAATGCACAAGTAAGAAAACTATCAGCCAGTGATTCATGCAGAAAGTTAAAATAGGATTATGTGGTGATCATAATCTGGGTAGTTGCTTTTGATGAGTGTTCAGAGAACAATTCTATGAGGAGGTGACGTTTTAGCCAAGACTTGAATCATCAGAGGGATCCAGCCACCTGGAATCCAGGGGGAAGAGTGTCCAGACAGAGGGAACAGAAAGTGCAAAAGCCCTGAGGTGGGAGCAAAGTGGGTGTGTTTGGGGACCAGAGGAAAGCCCAGTGAAGCTAGAGTACCAGTCACTAAAAGGAGACAGAGAGGCAGGGGCCATATCCTGGAGGCCTCATCATCCAGAGGAGTTTTATTATGTATTGTTTTTTCAAGGTGTGATAGAAAGCGTGGAAGGGTTTTAAACAGGGAAATGACATGATGTGATTTTTTTTAATTAATAGGCTTTATTTTTTAGAGTAGTTTTAGGTTTACAGAAAAATTGAGCATAAAGAACAGAGAATTTCCATATACTCTCTCACCCCCCAACATACACGGTCTCCCCTATTATTAACATCTTTCATTACTGTGATACATTTGTTACAATGAATGAGCCAATGTTGATACATTATTATTAAGTGAAGCCCGTAGTTTACATTAGGCTTCACTCTGTGTGCATGAGTTTTGACAAATGTATAGTGAATGACATGTCTCCACCATGATAGGATCCTACAAAACAGTCTCACCGCCCCAAAAATCCCATGCTACACCTATTCCCTCTCTCCGCGCAAAACCCCTGGCAACCACTGATCTTTTTACTGTCTCCATAGTTTTGCCTTTTCTGGAATGTCATGTAGTTGGAATGATACAGTATGTAGCCCTTTCGGATTGACCGCTTTCTTTCACTTGATAGAATTCTTAAAAAGCTTATGTTGGCTAGGTTGCAGGGAACAGATTGGAAGGGACAAAAATAACAGCAGGAAGGCCAGTCAGGAGGTAAAGCAGTGGTCCAGGGGCTCAGACAAGCGGGTGACTGAGCTGGTGGGGCAAAGTACAGGAACCCAGACACCTGTAGAGGCCAGGCTGTGGGGAGCTGCCGGTAGACAGACTGCAGAGGGCGGGTCCGGGGGAGAAACGATTTACGATTATATCACAACGGTTAAACCAGGGCCTGGATAGAGTGTTGGTGTAATGTTCATAGATACTGCTGTGGTTTTTTACTTACCTAAATACCTTTGATTTTGTCTTGGAATGGAAAGAACGGGTCCAAAAGGATCTCCTGGTGTGCCTATCATCACACAGCAAATTAGTAACCAGGTCTGCCTTAGATGGCAAACTCCAGCCTTTTCATCCCGAGCTCCATCGTCAGCTGCCACCTCCCTGTGCCTCCAAGAGCCTTTGTTAAGTACTTTTTCTTCTCGGCGGTTGTTCTGGTGCATAATCAATAAACCACTAACAGAAGTAAAAGGCTTCCAGATTTACACTGCTGATTCCCTGCCTGAAAAGCCTTCCCCTTCGCCCTCCTTAAAACCCTCCTGGCTTCTCATTGCACCTGGGGGGTGGGGGGAATCCACTTCGAATTGAATCTCAGCAAAACTGCTTGTTAACTTACCCTGACCCTTAAATTAATTCAGCTTGTTTTGGTATCATGTAGCTACTTTAAGTCAAAAAAAAAAAAAAATGTGGCCGAGGATTTGGTGGATTTCTTGGGAGTTTACCAAGGAACCTCACAGATGGAAGGATGGGAGTTGAATAAACAATCAATTGGAAAGACACATCCAGGATCCAGTAGGAGTCTGCTGCCTTCAGGGGACAGGGCTGCAGTAACGCCAGAGACTGTGCCTCCATTCATGCTCCCACAAGGCATCGGATGGCCCCAGCTGGGCTTGAGAATGCCACTCGCTCCTTCCCAGATCAATCAGATCTTCGGGGTGGGGAACATAGTGCCACATGGCACAAACGAGGTGACTCCCAGTGAAGGTAAAATCTTCATGGGAGATGAAGCAGCTAATGCCCCTCCAGGCAGGGTTGGCCCCATCCCCAGTAATCCCAGAACTCAATCATGGCACTTCTCAGATTGTCTTGTAATCATTTCTTGGCATGCGTTTCTCTCACTGGATGTGGGCTCTTCAAAGATTGTGGCCTCGACCTACTCAGTTTGTCATATTGTAGCAGAGGTGCCCCAGTTGCTGCTATGTACTTGGAATCATACAGTATGTAGCCCTTTCAGACTGACTTCTTCTACATTAGCTAGAATTTGTAGCTAGGCTTGTGGCCTCCCAAAGTAATGACATGCCCCAGTCTACCCTGTGGCTAATCAGGTGACAGAGTTCTGACCAGTGCATAAGAATGGAGGTGGTGTGGGTGACTTCTAGTTACACCTTTGCTGGGGAGGACCATGCTCTTCCCTTCTCACCCTCATGCTGCTGGCGGGACTGTGGACATGGCGGTGTACCCCATCAGACCACGTGGAAAAGGATAACTTCCCTAGGAATAGCAGAGTCGCCAGACAGAGAGATCGGGGTCCCTGACACCCTGAAGCTGCCACATCCGCTTTGAACTGCTTACCCCCAAAATAGTCTGAGAGGCAATCAAACCTCTTTTCTTGTTAAGCCCTTCCGCAGCCTAATGTAATCGACACTAATAACCGTGCTTAACGCAGTGACTGACACTTAGTAAGTGCTCAGTAAATTATAGTTGAATTATTAAATCAATTACAAAAAGAGAAACCTTTAATTCCAGCATTTAACACATCGACTGTTTGCATATTCCCTCTCAGCTCCTCTCTACAAGCAGTTGATGTTTTTAATAGAGGTATAATTAGAGCAGAAATAGAATTTTATATCCAGCCTTTTCTCTTTAATAGTAATTGCATAATAAACATTTTCCATATGTCATATTATCATTGTTTTAAATGGGTGTGTAATTTTCCACCAAAGAGATCAGCCATCGTTAACTACTCCCTTACTGTTTGATATATGTACATTTTTTTCATCTTTTTTAATTACAGGGAATGCTGCGAGAAAGTCGCTTATGACTCTAGTTTTTGCCCCTTATTTTTGACAGTTCCCTTGAGAATAGGATTGTTGCATTTTCTAATATCTTAGATCACCCTCTACCTTCACCAGCTACTCTTAAGCTTTATAATTTCCACTTTAAATTCTGAACCGTGGTCATGATGAGAATAAAACTTAAGACAGCAGCAGGTGCCCATTACTGACCACTGATTATGTAACTGTGCCATGCTGGGCACTTGTCGTACATCTATATATATTCTTTATTGAGCACTCGCTACATGCCAGGCCAGGGGAGTGGCAATAAGTGCCAATCCTAGAGTCAGACTGGATTCAAATCTCAGCCAAACAGCTTCCTAATGGTGAGACCTTGGAAAATTACTTAACCTCCCTGTGCCTCCATTTCTTCATCGATAAAATGGGGATAATAACACTTTCTTCGTAGGGCTGGTGTGATGTTTAAATGAGATAGTAATAACCGTTACCAGGTGCTGAGCACTGTGCTGAAGGCTTTGCATTTGTTCCTTGCCAGAGGGTAGGAAGGAAGTGTCTCCGCACCCATTATGCAGATGAGGCATCTGAAGCTGGGAGCACAAACACACAGCAGGGAGCTGAGCAATTCTCATATAGGTATGTCGTTGACCTCATAGTCCCAAGTTCCTTCCGAAAGGATTCTTCCCTTCAGTACTCTTCAAGCCAGAGCCTTAGAAGCCCAAATTCTCCAGCATCCTCTCTCCCTCCGCCACCCCCACCCACAACACACAGCCTATTTCAGGCCTACTGAGCAATTTACTGTCCTTCCCACAGTCATCACCACAGAGTGGAAAACCCCAGGAGCTCAGTTAGGAACAACAACTATTTATCAAGCACTTCTGGGCAGGCTGTGCGCGGGGTGCTTTATGTCATTATCTCATTTAATTCTCCAACAGTCCTAGAATATAAGCACCATTACCCCTATTTTACAGGTGGAGAAACCCAGGCCCAAATGGTAAAGTCAATTGCCCAGTGTCACAGGACTATTGCATCCAAGAGCTGAGAGTCACAGCTAGGCTTGGAAATGCAAGCGTAGAGTCTTGCTGTCCTCACCTGCAGCCGCCTGTGCTGGTTGTGCTATGATGGGCCCAGGTCGCCACCGCCTACCCCAGTGCAGCCAGGCAGAGGGCAAAAGCACAGCACCCACCAGGGCCACCTGGCCTCTCAAGACCCAAGGCACAAAGGTAGGGCTGGGATCCAAGATAGAGCTGTTGGATGAGCTTTCTGTGCCACCCCTGAAATAGCGCAGCTCCCAGCTCCGGTTCCGCGAGGCGGCAGGCAGATCCCAGAATAGCTCTTTCCTACTGCAAGGTGACCTAGTTAGCAGGTCCCTCTTGTCATGTGAGGATGGCTGAGCAAGACATTTACCTACCTCTCTCTACCCAGAGAAAGCCTGACCCAATGCTATTCTCTGCCCCCGCACACTCCCCCAGTGCTGCTCCCAATTTTCCCACTGTTCACTCATCCTAGAAGTCGGGGATACGGGTAATAATACACTGAGCGTGATGCTTCACAGACTCAAAACATGTTCACAAACATCATCATGCTTTCTTCTCACATCAGGCAGAGAGAGGATTTGATATCATCGCATTTCACAGCTGAGGAAATGAAGGCACAGAGAAGGTGAGCACATGAGCCAGGACATGCAGCTGGGAGGACGCAGAGCCAGCATGGCAGGGCCCTGAGCATCCCTGGCTGCAGTGCTCCTCTTTGAGGAGCCCCAGCAACCACACCTTCCTCACCTGTCTACTGCCTGTGATGGGTCTCCCGAACACCTGGTGGCAGAATTGGGTTGCAGAGGTCAAGATCAAAGGCTTTGAGGTCCGTCAGTTTGGGGATGGGGTTTAGGGTTCAGCATTTATCAGCTCTGTGACCCCTGGCAAGTTGCTTTACCTGTCTGAGACTCAGTTTGTGTATCTGTAAAATGGGAATGATAACCACACGTGTGTCCTGGGTTGTCATGAAGATTTGAAGAAATGACATATGTAAAGTGCCCAGCAGGTTCCTTTTCACTCTGAGTGTCTTTGATAAAGTAGCTATCGTGGTTCTTTACTTTTATCATTGATATCTCAAATTTAACCCAAAAAGGAAACGTTTAAGATTGGTTAACGAAAATTGGGCCAGTGAAGAGTTAATGTACCAAAAGCCTTTGTGGTTCTTGCCACATGCCTGGGAGAAATAGTAGTTGTATTTATAGAATATGAGACATGGCAACTCTTTCAAAGCCTGGGGCCCTGGTTCTGCTGGATGACTGAGAGGCCCTGGGGTGAGGGTGTTGGTTAGAGTGAAGTCTTACGCTGACTCTGGCAGGAACCCATTATAGGAGGAGGGAGAGGAGTGGGCGCAGTACTCAGTCTTGGATGCCCCCATCTCAGTCTGTCACCAGTGTGTGTGCTCATTACTCTGCAAGTAGCATATCACACTGACGAGGAAAGCCTAGAAGGGCAGGGTGCCTGGCCCAGTGGTCCCTGGGAGCAGAGGGTCACTGTGGAAGAGAAGATGGGAAAGAAGGTCAGGGACAGCCTTGAATGCCAAGTTACCTATTACCTGGAGAAGTGTCTGTGGGCCTTAAGAATGGAGCTGGACTCATAGGGTCAGATGCTGTCCATTCAAACCCTGCCTCTACCTCTCCTCAAATGCTAAGCCACAGGTAAGTCGCTAAACCTCTCTGAGTGTCCATGGACCCATCTGTAAAAATTGGGTGGTGAGGACTGGAGGAGGCACCTATGTGTAGCACATAGCAGGTGTTGAGTAAATGTTTGAGAATCTGAGCCTGAACGGTCTAAGCAATTAAGCCCAAGACCAGAGGCACCATCTTAGGAATTTAAAGAGAAAAGTGATTGCAGTCTGAAGGAAAAAAGGAAGGCTTCGGAATGATGATGAGATTGGCATTGAGTCCCAAATCCAAATGCAACTGAGGAAGATGTAGAGGCTTGGGGCAAGACCCAGTGGGACAGAGCCCGGAGGTAGGACTGAGCAGGACACATTGGCAAAGAAGGAGCTTTTAGTCACACTCGGCAGAAGTTGAAAACTTCCTCTGTTACCTCAACTCCCACAGCCTCTGTCCCTGCCCCCTCTCCACCTCAGTGACTGCCTCCCTGTTGGACACACACATTCTCTTCATCACTCCCTTCCCCTTACCCAGCATGATTTGCTTCAGAGCACTCATCATTCTTCAGTACTATATTATTTAGTCATTTGTGTCCATGTTTATTATCTGTCTACCCCAAAGAGACTGTAAGACTCTTGGGGGAGAGGACTCTGTCTCATTCACTGGAACACACACTATATGCCCAGTGCCTAGAGCAATGGAACACATAGTATATGCTCGATAAATAGGACTGACGTAGGTAGATAAATCAACAATAGGGAGTCCAGAACAGCGGAAGGAGGGGGCCCTGCAGGAGATATTAGATAAGATTATGCCAAATGGGAGGGCTGTGCAGACCAGGCTAAGAAGTTTGGGTGACTTTTCAAGAACAATCAACAGAATCTGTGACCAACCAGGTCATGGTCGGTTAGGTTTCAGGTCTAGGTGACGGAGAGAGGGGTAGTGCCATTGGCAAAATCAGGTCATTTATTCCTTGAAACTCTGATATGTCTCTTCTAGACCAAGGTGCAAATTGGGCCCAAGGGTCCAAATGTGAACAAGTCACGTTTCCTCCTCCCAAGAAGCCCCCATTTTCGTGGGGATTCATGGAGCAGCAGTCATTCAAGCAGGACTTTGAAAGGCAGAGAGGATTTTCATACTGAGAAACCTGGGACTGGGCAATGACACAGTGACCAAGGTGATGGGAAGGGGTGGAGAGGGCTTGGGAGTGACCGAGAGGAGACAGGAGAGGGCAGGACGTGGAGGCCTTCTCTGGGAGCGGGGCTGCTGTTCTCCCCCTGCTTCCCTCTGAGGACCCTGGGGAAGGAGGCATGGCTGGGCTGCTTCCTACCTGAACGCCTCTCCTATGGGCAAGGACACAAGGAGGAGGAGAGTGACATGCTCAACAAAGGAGCATTCTTCTAGCCACGACCCAGAATCAATAGAGGTTTGTTTGCCCTGCTGCCTGGGGGAAGCAGCCAGGCAAGCTGGTGAGGGGACCTGGGCAGAAGGGTGGGAACGCAGAGTCCTGAGCTGGGCCTGCCTGGAGCATTTTTCTACCCCAGAGTTACCACATTCATGGCTCACAGTAATTTAAAAAGAAAAAAAGAAAAAAAAAGGTGTGTGGGAGGGAAAGCACTCCAGAGAATATCCAGGCCCATCTTCACCTGCAGGTGGGGCCCCTGGGCTCAGAGACCTTGACTAGGCTTTGTGACGAGAGCATTGATTGGATTAGAAGCAGAAGACCTGAGCCCGAGTCTCAGCTCTGTGATCTCTTCCAGCCTCAGTTTCCTTATCTGAAAGATGGGACTAATAATACCTTCATCACAGATAGGAATTGCTGGATGGATTCAAGGAGACAGTGTGGGCAAAAGTTCTTTGGAAATGCACAGTGTCTGCACATGTTTAGGATGCTGGGAAGATGGCAGTTACTGAGGACTCCGCAGAGAGGGTGAGAGCCTTGACCAGGTGAGACCTGACCCACGTTGAGAGCCCGCTGCTTTGGGGAAAGGCTTCTCATCCTTATCTGCTCTGTAAGCAGACAACCACCTCTCCAGCCCTATCTTCTCTCCTTGCTCCACCCACACAAACCCCATCTCTCAGCAATGCTCCTTCTTTCCTACACTGGTTGTTTATTTCAGACTGAAATTTCAATGGGTTCAAAAGACACAACACTAATTAATTACCGCTATTAAGAGCTCACGATGCTACACGCTTGAGGATCATAGGCTCACAGAATCCCCACAGCAGCCTTATGAGCTAGGTCTGGTTACCATCCCCAATTTACAGAAGAGGAAACTGAGGCTCCGAGTTGTAAATGAACTTAGCTGATGTCATCCAGCCACAATGTGTCTGAGCCTGTAGTGAAACTCGAACCTTCAGATTCCAAGGTCAACTAACGCAGCTCCTCCCCAATCCAAAATTTGCCCCTCCCCATGCACCCCACCCCCAGCTGCCACCTCCAGGGAAAGGAGGTGGGCTACCTCCCAAGGCAGCCTGTTTCACTGTTGGGGTGCCCAAAAACACCCTTGTAGAGCAGACTTGGGGCATGACACAATGGGTGAGGAGGCAAGAGAAGGGTGGAAGGTCTGCGGCACAGGCCAAGGGTGCCGGAGGGTGAGCTGAAGGTGGCCAAGGTGACCTTTACCTGGACCTCTCCCTGCTACAGATGCACCTGCTCAAGTGGCTTCCTCTTCTGCATCCCCAGAGGATGGGACCCTTTTGGGGAAGGCAAAGAAGAGACAGGACATGAGGGTGACTCGCCCAAGATGACAAGTCTCACTTTAATTCATGTTTGCTTACCCCAAATGGGTCCTGGTGTGCCTGGCAACGCCACATTTCATCCCTAGACTAGTCACTCTCCCAGCTGACTACTTCTTACCTTATTCTCCATCCTCAAACCTCAGCACTTCTCCCCGCCCTCCCTTGCCTCTTAGTTCCCTGTGAACACAAGAGCCAACAGCAGAGCGGGCCACACCAGCACATCACCCCTCTTGCATCTGTGCTCGTGTTCTTTGCCTTCCCCCCTCTTCCCGGGGAATGAACTGTCTGGGCTCCCACAAAACTCAGCCCTTCCCCTTGTGGACGTCAGACCCCACCCCTTGGCTCTACAGGGACATCCCTCCAGCAATCCCCAGAGTCATCTAATTTTCCCCCTCGTCTACGGCCATGACACCCTGAACAAGCCCGATCCCGTCTGATCTCAAAAGCTAAGCAGGGTCGGACCTGGTTAGCACTTGAATGGGAGACCACCTAGGAAGACCAGGTGCGGTAGGCATAAAAAATAAAAATGAAAAATAAGGGATTGTAAGCTGACAAGGTCTTTGCAGTCTGTGAGGTCAACCAAGGGTTGCCTTGCCTAAAAAAATAATAATAATAATAATTTTCCCCCTTGACTGAGTCATTCTCGTAAGCATAAAAAGAAGTTATTATTTATCTTATCTTTAAAAAACAAACAAACAAACAAACCACTCTTGGTCCCACTACTTTATGGAGTCCCATTGCCCCCCTGTTGTCCTGCCCTTTACTTTCATAGAATGATCTACACTGGCTGTCCCTAGTTCCTCCCCTCCCAATAGGCTTCTGCATTCACACACCCTTATCAGGTTATCAGTGACCTCCACATTGCCAAGTTTCTCTGATGCCCTCAGGAAACTTGCCCTGAAAAGACTGGGGGGTGTCGCCTTGGTACGAGTTCAGTGGGTCCCCCGCCCACCCTGAAACACCTCCCCTATATCTTCCTAAAGTCCCTAACCCTAGGAATCAGTGTTTTTCCATGTTCCATGAGCACAGCACCTGAATCAATCGCCTGGATCACTCACATGAAAGGCAGATTTCTAGGTCTTGACCCAAATCTACAGAACCAAAATCCCAGGGCATGGCATAAAAACTTGCCATCTTGTGCCCACTCACATCACAGTCAAACCAGAGTTAAAGCCTGAGGCAGGCAGGACTGTGGGTTGAAGTTTTCATTCAGGTGTAAATGACTGACAGCCGACTCCACCCAAGCTGGATCCTGATGCGGGGAAAAGGGGGCAGATGGAAAGGAGGCAAAACCTGAGCAAACTAAGGGAAAAAGACCTAGGAAGGGAAGAAAGAAGGGGGGAAATGTGGTAACTTCCAAAGGCCAGTTTACTTTCCCCACAAGTTGGCCAAAGGCTATATTACTGAGCTCAGGGAAGAATTTTATTCCTTTATGCTTCCTTGGTGACTTCCCATCCATTAAGTGAGCTAATCTTCACTGCAACCTTGAGACATAGACAGAAAAGAAATTATTTCCTCTCATTAAGAAATGAGGAAATAGGCAGAAGATTGGGGTGGCACGCCTAAAAGCATTCGTTCGTGAAACATTTGTTGACATCTGATGCCAGTTCTGGGACAGAGCTGAGTGAGCCCAAGAGTGAACCCAAGTCACCAGACCAAAGCCAGGAGCCTGCCGCACCAGAGCTTCCTGCTGCACGTTGCATGAGGTCCTGTCGGTCCCTGCAAGTCCCACTAAGCTAGTGATTATCAATTAATTCATCAGCCTTGCCTCTTTCTCCATTTCCTCTGCCTATAAATTCTAGAGACTCCAAGTTCATACCTGATGATTGGAGGGAGAAAAGTGATATTTGGGTTTACTAATGTCAAAAAAGAGGGGTGGAGAAAAATCTCCATGAGAGGGAAAAATTACTTCTTTTCCTCTCCACAGCCCAAACCAAAGAAAGTAGATGATAAGGCTCCTAAACTGCCTTTTTTAATGAGCAATCCAAGTGACTCTGATTCAGGGGCTGTGCCCATGGAACATGGGAGAACACTGATTTTTTGGAGTTAGGGACTTTAGGAAGAGATAGGGAATGTGTTTCGGGGTTTGGAGGGAGGGGGTGATATTTGCAAGGCGGAACGAGCCAGGTGGTGTCTACATTGCTCTGCCCAGGAGGAGGGGGGAGACAGGAAGAAATGGACAAGGGAATTGGGTGAAGGCAGGGGCAGGCAGGCAATAAGAGACAAGGGGACTGGCAGCTGAGTAGGAAATTCTGGGGCAGGAGAGGACAGAACAGTCTAATTAGCATATTTATTAGGTTTTGCTCTGCGATGTGCAATGTAACGCTATCTTCCATTTTCTGATGAAATCTTCAGTAAAATTGGGCTTTACACGCTAAAGACTTTATAATGTATTTGGATCAGCTTTTGGGGTCTTGGCTTACATACTAGGCCCTCGTTAAGAGTGGCTACAACTTGCCAGCAGAGGCTGTTCCTGGGGCTCTCAAAACTGGTTTCCATCTCCAAGTAATTTAAAAATGGTTCGGCATAAAGCAGAAACAGAAAGATCTTTTGTCTCAAAACACAATGAATAATGAAAGTCCTGTTGTGTCTCATGAGCGATCGTCAAATGTGATACTGCTCTTCCATAAGACGGGCTTTTTGGTGGCAGGTTATTTTTCCTCCTAACCCTGTTTTCCCTGGCTTCAGCCTCATCACTCGAAGTCCTTCCCTCTGCTAACTCCAAGGACAGCGCCAGCCCAGGCCCTTTCAACCGCCCAGGCTACAGCTCACCACACACAAAGGGGCTTTGTGGGTTCCCGGTGAATTAAGCACCGATGGGTGATGGGGATGAGAAAAACTTCGGTGATCAGGAATGCTGAGTCTTGCCAAATCCCCATTCCAGCAGTCACTGTCCCCTGGAGGAAGGATGTATCAGGAAGCTATGGTTACACTTCTGTAACTGGGAAAGAACTCATGGGGTGTTTAAAAATTCTGTTTATCCAAATTGAATTTAAACCGTCTTGAACACCCCCTAGCAGGTTTAGCAGAAAGTCCAGAATTGCCCTGTGGGCTATGCCTCCCCTCCCCCTCCACTCTGACCACGTTGGGTCATTCAAGAACAGCCGAGGCTTCTAAAATCCAAGAGAAGTAGACCTGCTTGACTTTTACTCCATGATGGGGACGAAAGTCCATGGACAGCCATCTGATGCCACTGTCACTGCCACACAGCACCTCCCCGCTATGTGGCACTCACACTGCACTTCTTTTGTCTAGTGTGGCTCTCCTGTCCCTGCTCTAAGCAGTGAGAGTCTATGGACATCAGCTCCCACCCCCCCAACATCAAGCAGGGCCTGGGTCACCTCTTGGACTGTGCCTCTTAGTATCCCAGGTCATCTATTGTTTGAGTGAGCCACTTTCATTCTCGACCCAGACCCCCAAGATTCGGGCAAATCCTTTAAGATTATAGATCTTGCATTGCCCCTCAGTAGGGCTGGAACTCAGAAATTCAACACAGTTCACTCATGAGGGTGGAGTAAGGTAGATTGTGGAGAAAACACCTTATATCCCACCTCACCCTTTGGAAGACAGACAGGAAGGAATTTTTGGCACCTTTTATTCGAAAGCAAAAAAAAATTTTTTCAGCGGGCCACTCCTCCCTTCACCTTTTATTAAAGAGAAGCCCCGTTTTTTCTTTGTTCACATGGTTTATTACCTTCAGGGTTTTGGGAAGTTTTGTGAAATCTAGGAAAGTGAACGACTGGGCAGTAATTCTCAAATGGGGACCTTGAGATAGTATTTCGGGGGGAAGTAATATTCAATGACAGTTTTTGAGCAGTTGCACTCTGCCAAGTACATTAAGACATTCAGTGTTTGTTTCCAGGTAACTGCACGGATCTCAGTGTCTTTTTATCTGTCTTCCTCTTGCTATAAAGTTATAAAAATAAGCACCAAACCCTACTGATATCAGAAATGTTTTGTGAGAAGCCAAAGGTTTGTCTGGTCTATCGCAAGAGCTCCCAACCTATGGGCTATAGAATTCTGGATGGTTTTAAAGTTATTATTGCAAAGGATAAGTGGGCACCCATGTGTACTGTAGGTTTATCATAGATGCATTGATATGAAGCTGCCTGAATTTGAGTGTGAGCTCCCCCAACATTCCATCTGTATGAACTTAAAATGTGTTACTTGAAATCTCTAAGCCTTGATTTCATCAGCTATAAAATGGGGGTGATAACTAAAGGCACCTAATTCATAGAGTTATTGTGGAGATTAAAATTAATAATACATGTAAAGTGTTGTTGAGCACTATGCTTGACATAGTAACTGGTCAATAAATGTTTATCATTATTATTCACAGCATTACCATTTATCGAATACCTATTATTTTCCAGGCACTATGCTAAAAACTTCACTATCTCAAATCCTCACAATACCCCTGCTTTATATAAAGTAAAGTTCAGTGACTTGCCCAATGTTGGACTGTTCCAGGACTTGTATTTGTTACCTGTTTTCAAAACCAGAACTTTTTGGCTCCAAAGCCTGCTTTCTCTGCAATGAATCACATTGTACCTGAACCAGCCGTAGACTGATTATTTCATGTCTCATGTATATATACAAGGCTTGGATACTATTCAAAGTATTCAACAATCAGCCCAGCACAGGGCTGACCATCGGAATGAAAGTGGCCCAACCCCAAGCTGGAAATGAAGGGCAAGGAAGGCTCTAGTCCTGTGCCAAGTATTAACTCTTTAGTTACTGGGTAGTATTAAATAAGTAATTATTCCAAAACCTATATCCAAAGTTTATGCTCTCACCTGACTGATAACTAGGCCATATTCTCCCTTTCTTGCTAATATAACAAATATTCTAGACATTCTCTTTTCCCATAAAATGTCCCTTCCGGAGTGAATCTTGAATCGGCCTGCTAGAGACGTTTTCCCTTGCAGCAAGATTATAACAAATTTTGATGTGTGCTCATAACTGAAATGTCTGGAGAGTTTTGTTTTGTTTTTATCTGTGGAGACAGGAAAAGAGGTTTCTAAAGACTTGGGGCGGGGTAGGCCTTGGAGCAGGGTGGAGGCGATAACTATTCACCACCGAGGGCAGAAGTGTTTCAGTGAAAAAACAGTCAGTGTGGCCACAGTGGTGGTTCCAGCTCTGAATCAGCCCTGAATACAATAAATTTTAAATCCAACTTGACCATGTAGATTTTATTGCGGTTTATATAATACAGAAACTGATTTCATGATAGCTTATTGACATTATGGGTTTTCTTAAACAATAAATACCGTGGTATTTTTTATGTTAAAAAGTGTTCTTCTATAGCACATTAATAATTGCTGCAGGCAAGATCCACTGATAAATGCTAAAAGAGTGGGTGAAGTTTTAATGAGAAATAGACTAGTTGCCAACCTCAAAGTATTAATTGCCATCGTGCTTTTAACAGATGTCCACAAACTCTTTGACGCTCCTTGCTCTGGGAAGTAGAGCTTAATTCCCTTCCACTTCGACTGGACTTAGAGACTTGCTTCTAGAGTATGGAAAGAGGAAAAACAGTGACTTTACCGCAGAGTGACCTGGCCGACATTACCTTAACCAAACAATGAAGGTTTGCGTCACCAGTAACAAGGCGTGTTGATGTCATGTGTTCCTCACTGTGTTGCAAGGAGAAGGCCACCTCACCTGTGTGACAGTCTTCCCCCACATCCATAACCCCAGTCTAATCATTAGAAACATAGAACATAGAACAAAGCCTCAGAGACATTCTACAAAATACCTAACCACTGCTCTTCAAAAGCCTGGGTAAGGAGAAGACAAGGAAAGACTGAGAAACAGTCACAGAATGAAGGAGCCCAAGGAGATGTGACAACTACATGCAATACAGTATCCTAGATGGCATCCTAGGACAGGAGAAAGACATTAGTGGAAAAACTGGTGAAATCCAAACAACTGCCGTTAATGGTGTTGTGCCAATGTCATTTCTTAGTTTTTGTGAGTTTTAATGTGCCACAGTCATGAAATACATCACATGAAAGAAAGCCAAGTAAACTCTCTGTAGCATTTTTACAACTCTTCTGTAAATCTAAAATAATGTTCAACTAATAGTATAAAAATAACAAGGAGAAAAAATAATAAGAATGATAAAATCACAAAACCTACAAATGTCTCAATTAAATCAATGAAAGTGACTTATCAAGGTGATCACTTCATCAATTATATCAATGTCTACTCAAGATGTTGTACACGTGAAACTAACACTATATCATATGTCAACTGTAATTGAAAAATAAAAAAAAAATTAAACGAATAAGAGTTCTTACAAAGATTGGGAACCGAAGTTTACACAACACTCAAAGAGCTGGATGAAAGAGAAGCACACAACCCTAACAAAAAGCTATAGGCCGTGGGGACGTTTCCAGCCATCCCACTGGAGGCACAGTCTAGGGCAATGATGACCTCTCGTGGGTTAGCATCGTTCACACTCAGAGCTGTGACCTAGGGGTGGGGTGCTGCATGAACAACACGAAAACCAGTGGGGCTGGGTGAGAGGAGAGAGAGTGTCCCACTGTGAATGGAGTGAGATCGTGGGGTGAAAATAATTAACACACCTGAAGTGCCCAGCCCTGTGCCTGACATCGTCAGTAAATGTTCATTATTTAATAGTAGCAGTAATATCGCCATTTATCAAATACCTGTTATTTTTCAGGCACTGTGCCCAAAACTTCCCATCCATTATCTTAAATCCTTACCACATCCCTACTTTATATAAAGTGAGGTTCAGTGACTTGCCCAATGCTAGACTGTTCCAGAACTTGTATTTATTACTGGTTTGCATAGCCCCCTCTTAGGCCTCGGTTTTCCCACAGGTGAAAGGATAGAATTGGCCCCAGAGGGTGGTGTGGCACAGTGGGGGAAAGCTCAGACTTTGAAGTCACAGAGACCTTTGTTCTTTGCTCACAGGGTTGTTGAGATGACAAGTATAATGATGGCCTAAGCACTTAGCATGGAGTCAAGCACATAGCTAGTACTCAATTCATGTTATTGGAGCAGGATAATATTGGGACTTTTTAAACTGAGGTTTTTTTCTTCACCCAAATATGTCCTGCTATTTAATGGCACGTCGCCCATTGTCTGAGGGGTCAGTGGGGCACTGCTTAAAAGAAAGAAGTTATTGTTCAGCTCTGGATGTCCAACTGGAGTCTTACGAAGTCCAAAGCAAAATTGTTTTTGAAGAACCAGGTGTTCAATTGCAGAGAGTCAGTGTATATAGGAGAGAAAAAATTTTCCAGAATTCTAAAACCTTCTCTTTAAATAAACTTTAATATGAAACTTTAAATAAAACTTGGATGACCTAGAAACTGAAAGTTTTTTCCTAAGTCACAAAGTAGGCAGTTTCTAGTCTCAGACAAGAAACTCTTTCTGGCTGGGCTGAGAAACAGGGGAAAGAGAGCAAGAGCATGGGATCTGAGTGTGGGGCCTGCCCCTGACCTTCTGCCCAGGTAGAGTACCCTTTGGAAGCGGATAGAAGACCCCAGAGTAAAGGTGCCGTGCCTCACTTAGACCAGTACTTGAGAGGAGGACATCACCTCACAGCAGGCCTTGGGTCCCCCTGGGAGGCCACAGTGGAGGTGTGATGGTTGTGAAGCGTATTTAGGGAGAGAACCTCACATTCACTCTGCCTAGCTCCACCCCACTTCTCACCCCTCTCCCAGTGCCAGTTATTAAGCTATTAGTTCTCAGCTCTAACCCCACCACCTATATTCCGCCTTGTGATGCTGGGGCTGGCACTCTACCAGCCCCATATCTGTTTGTCACCTGTTTCCATAGCCGGCTCTGTCAATAGGGGGCACTAGAGAGTCCAAGAATGGATGAGCGAGCAAGCAAGCCGGATGCTCTCAGTTTGCTATTCCTCAGTCAGCATCACCTCACAACAGTCCATCACCCTGGCAGCAGCAACTGGTTCCAGTAGCAATTGGTTCCAGTTTTCAGGTTTTTTCCACATTCTCAGAATCAGACTTCTGGTGGCCTCTTGAATATACCAGCACCAGCCACAGGTGTGCCCTCCTAAGGGGCCCAGGTCCCAGTTTCCCGGTTCTAATAACCCCAGCTTCTTCTCTTGTCCTCCGGTCCCTAGGGCTGGTATCTGTTTCCTGCAGTTAGTACTCTGATAACTCACTCTTTCTTTTTTTCCACTTGTCCAATACTGTGTAGCCAATTCCCTATATTAATTTTTTTCTCTTAAAACAACCAGCGTGATTTCCATTTTCCCGATGTGACTAACTCATACAAAGGCCTGATTTCCCCAAGGCCATTGTAGGTCATGGTAAGCATCAGAAGCTTCCAGTGGGGCCTATCTAAGCCCCGATAAGACATCGGGTTAGGACTCTGAGGACTCGGAGGGCACAGTCTTGACGCCAGAGGCCATGAGTACAGTCATGCTCTGGAGTGACACATGCTCAGGCTCAAAGCCAGGCTGGACCAGTTGTACCAGCAGAGAAGCGATGGGAAGAGAAGCTGACACCAAACACCTAAAAGGACAAAGCAGCCAGCAGGGCCATCATCCCCAGAAGCCTAGGCCCAAGGCCTGGGATGTCATGGAAGGCTCCTCTGCTACCAGATGTCATCTGAGGGGTGGGGGGTGGGCACTACCAAGAGAGAGAGCCATCCTAACAGAGAGTTCAGATCCTGATTAGACTATTTTTCCATACAAGAATACATTTTCTTATTTAAGAATTTTGCTTTTGACATCATTTCAGATTTACAGAAAAGTTACAAAAAATAGTGCAAAGAATTTAAAGATACCCTTCATCCAAATTCTCCAAATGTTAACATTTTACTACATTTGCTTTATTTCTCTGCATATGTGTATTTTTCCTGAAAGGTGTGTGTACTTTTTTTCTGAGCTATTTCAAAGCTGCAGACACAATGCCTCTTTACGCCTAAATACTTCAACATGTATTTCTTAAAAACAAAGACATTCTCCTACATAACCACAGCACAATTATTAAAGATGGGGAGTTAACATTATATAGTACTATAATATAAACGATGGACTTTAGGTTTTACCAATTGTCCCCAAGTGTCCTTTATAACAAAAGAAAACGCAGGATCATGCACTGCATTCAGTTGTTGTGAAGAGAATAAACTTTCACCCAGAAATAAAATCATGGAGAGGAGAACTGTGATCAAGTTGGGTTCAGTTGTAGAAAAAATAAAGTTTTCCTTCTGTGTGTCTGAGCCGTACAGTGTAAATGCTGACCTTGCAATGCTAGTGGTTAATAACAGTGTCAATGATGACGGTAATAATAGTTCATGGCCCTCTCTGTTCTGGGTCTTTTTATCTTTGAGACAAATTCATGGTCTTTTGTTATCAGCCAGTTACTCCATGAAAAAAGTTATTATTGAGACAATGTAGCCCAGTAGGAAAGGCAGGAGTTCTGAAGTTAGATAGACGTGGGTTGAAAATTAGCTTTGCTACTTGCCTGTGGTATGACCTTGGGCCCAGCTTGAACCTCTGAGTCTCAGCTTTTCTGCCTTTAACATGGAAGAGAGATTAGCACAGTGGGATGCAGAGCCCAACAGATCTACGTTCATATCTTGGCTCTGTGCTTAAAATGACTTCGCCAATCTGGATTTTGGTCTGCTCATTGGTAAAGTGGAGAAAAGTACCAACAGGGTGGGCACATTGCTGGGCCATTGAAAGGAGGAATGATTCTTGTACAGAAGGGCCTGGCTCATATCCGTTTCTCAAGGAAAGGTTAATTCCTTTCCATCAGCCCTTCTGGGTTTGGACATGTGATTCCTCCTCTTGGGGCCTCAATTCCTTCATCTGTAAAACACAGCCAGTGGTACCCATCTCTCAGCTTGTGAAGAATGAGAACTGTAGGTGGAAGGGCTCGGTGCTCTGACAAGCCTGGTACGCTGTGGCCTTGGCTGACAGTGACAAAAACAGAAAGTGCTTTGGAATCCTGGGGCCTGCCAAGAATGCTGGCAAACCTGTTCTTCCACTGCTGCCCTGGAGTTCCAGACCTGCCCATCCTCTCACCCCAGCCAGCTTCGCTCCTCTTGCCCCTGGGTGCGTCCTGCCTGCCTTCTTCTAGGAAGCCACTCAGTCCTGCCTCCAAGAAGGGAGGAAGGATGTCACCTTGTCCTGGGCAAGTTGTTGGACAAGAGAGGGCAGCTCCAGCACTGACCCACTGCTGGGAAGAGAGGAAGAAACCTGCAGCCCTGGCAGGCTAGCGCCAGAGAAGTCCCACCCCCGCCAGTCTCCTCCCTGTCTTGGGCACATACCAAGTTCATGATCAGATCAGAACAGAGAAGCTTGGTGAAAAGGGCTCTGGCCTGGGAGGAAGAAAGACCACTATAACATTCATAGATTCAAGAAAGGCCTGAGCAAGATCTCTTGGGGGCAGGTGGCCCTTAGCAAGTGAGGCAAAAAGTTGGTGTGTTCCCAAAGAGGGGAGATGTGAAGCTCCTTCACCTCCTGCCTGAATGATAGAGACACACTATGTGCCAGGCTTTGTATCAAGCTCTTGACATTATGCCTATATTATCTTATGGAACCCTCATAAGTCCTGGGGAGCTTGGGAGCAACATTCTCCTTTGATAAAGAAAAAAACCCGAGGCCCAGAGAACGAAGCTACCTTCTCTAATTGGTATCTGCTCAGGGGTTGAAACCTGGATCTGCTTGATTCCAAAACCCATGTTCACCTGCTTTGCTATGGGATGGAGAAAGGATTTGGAGCTGGGCCCAGGGCTGCCCTTCCCTTCAAGGGCCAACACCTTCACGGGCACAGCCCTGAGACTTGGCAAATCATTCACATATATCTTTCCCTGGATTGATACACTCTGGGGATCCTGCATCGGGCAGGGACTGTCCACATCACCCATCACTGACCGGATATAATTATATATCATAAGTGCCTTCTTCCCCTGCTACCCCCACCAAATGTAGGTTATTCCAGGCACCGAGTCCAATTCCTCTATTTATCTACCCACATGCCAAGCAAACGCCAGGAATGTAGTAGGAGTTTAGTAGATATTTATTGGATAACATATTAATGAGGTAGAGCAAAACCCTTTTGTTTATCAGAGGAAGCATCTGAGACCCAGTGCAGGAGGAATGGGACTTGCCCAAGGTTACTTCGGCCTCTTCGACTTCCATCCAGGGTGGTTTCCCCTCTATTACTCAGCCTTTGCTTAAGCTTAGGGTTTTGCCAAGAAGTAGGGCTGCGTTCGAGGATCCCCATAGGAAGCCAAAGACCCTATCCAGTAAGACCTTCCCCTCTATAAGATTAGAGACAAGGC